GCATTGGAAACGAAGAAGAACACACAAAAAAAACAAGGGCATGTGGAAGCAATCAGCCCTAGGACATGATGGCCATCAAGACCAGATGGTGCCCAGCTACCAATGCCAATCACTCAAGAAGGTATCAAATCTGGAGATCCTGGATAGAGTGGGAGGAAGAACATAGGACAAAATCCAAAAACTCAATAATGACCAGAATTAGTGGTCAGATGAAATCTTGTGAGACCCCCAATACTATGGCCCTGGAATACATTTTACGCCTGGAATAAAAAGTACCCCCAGGGGCTGGCTGTCAGCCCAATAGTTAACAAGATGTACACACAGGCCAGTTAACCCAAGTTCATACACCCACATACTCTATGGTAATACATCCCTTAGAGCAATAGTCCACAGGGCACCAGAGGACCAACGTTCAAATTGCGGAAATGCAGGACAAACAGGAGTGCACAGATATGAGGGCAGGAGGGAAGGTTACAGGGTAGGGAGGGAAGGAGACTGGGTTAGGGTTGAAGATTGTAAATGGGGAGTGAAACTAAATGTACACGTAACATTGAATGTAAAACAACTCTTAAAGGAAAGAAAAAAATATATGAATTGTTTGGGGATAAAATTTTAAGATGTTTTGTAACTTTGAATGTTATTGAACAGATGTGCCTTACTTCTGGCAGCCTTTGGGACGTAGGGTTTGCCAGCTTTGTGAATCTGTATTAAGCTTTCTAAAATATCCCTTGAAACTAGAGCTAGACATAAGTCTAAATAAAAATCACATCTCCTTTTCTATGTGATTTATCCAGAGCAAAACATGTTTAGAATTTGAACTCATTTGATTTGTTTCTTTTATATTTTTATATCATTTTATTAGTGTAATTCCAATAAGTGAAAAAAAGGAAAAATTTTATTGAATGGGAATCAGTCTTACAGCTAATATGTTACTTAAAATGTAGATTGATTCTTCATTTATTGCTTTTATGCTTATAGTTTTTGTAAACAAAAATAGTTGATTAAAATTTATTGGTTTATTGTAATGATTTCTGGGTATCACATTTTAAGATTTTTTTTTCCCAAAGTTAAAAAAAAATAAAAAACATAAGAAGGAAATCAGTGTGAGGTTCCCATATAATTATCAGAGGTGTAGAGACAGATTGCCTTCAGCAAAAGGGCAGGAATGGGTTGGAATGGGGAGTTACTCTTTTTCACTGTTTGAAGACTTCTGCAAGTAGGATTTGTCTTGGCCTCTGTTTCTGTAGAAGTATTTTTGAAGATAATGAGACAAAGATAAAGTAAAGCAGACTTCAGTTCACTATAAGGAGGTCTGCATAAAATTTGAATGATTGGATGACCTCTACATGTTTTTTGCAGCATCCTTAAATGAATACTAACAAACCGAATTATGGGGGTGAAAGTTTCTGGTGTGAATAATTCAGTGCCTTAAGTCTTTAATTTATACATTTTGCAGGTAGAGCACGTATCTTCATATCAGAGCCATCCATAGCCTAAAGGATGAGTTTTCTTTTACTAAAATCAGTTATCTATTGATTCAAGCCCTCCTTTTTCAGAATCTGGAAAATCACTTTATTAACTTACTTAATAGACTAAACATAGCTCTTCTTGCAAGCTGACCTTTTTTAATGAGAGCTTAATTAACAAAGTAAAAAGACTTTGAATCCAGAGACCCAGGTTTTCATACTGTTTCTGCCACTGAATATATGAATCATCTCCTATATGAATATATGAATCAGTCTCTACTTCGTCATTTGTAAAATGGATTAAATACTCTTCAAAGGTATTCTTTTTACTTGTTTATTTATCCTGTTTTGCCCTACTAAAGAGAACTTAAAAAACTTACAAGAGAAGAAACTTATAATGAAGTTATAAATATCAAAAGCAGCAGAATAGTAGGATTCAAGGAAAAAAAAGTAAATTATTACCCATTTTATGCCAGGGCTTTCTGGCAATCAGATAAAAAGGAAAGCCCAAAATGGTATAGTTCTCATTATCAAGAGAAATAGGAAGCATAGCATGAGCCCCAAATTTTCTTAGCATTGAATTCTGAAAGACAGTGTATCAGTGGTTCTGTATACAGATAGTCCCCGACCTATGACATATTCAAGCTATGATGAACCACACTTACAACTATGCCTTTTTATTTTTGTTTTGTACATGTTATTGTTAGTAATATGCACTGTAAACAGTGTTGCAGCATATAATCTGATGTTAACACTCTCAGATATTCACTTGTTCAGTGTTATGATTTACTGATCAAAACACTGCCGTATAGCAGAGTATAGCTTTGTCTGCAATGAAGTTGGTGTTTGTAGTCAGAACAGATAGAAAGTTAGACAATATTCAACTCTAGTCACATATGACAACTGAACTGTACATGTGCCTATCAGCCACTCTGACTTTATTGTTACAGCACTGATACCAACAAACAAAAATCTGATTTATAAAAATACTGGTAACAAAAAGCAGTAATATGGAAACTTAAAAAAAAAAAAGAAAAAAGATAGATTCAGCTTTTATGAAAACCGACCTATGATGGAGTCATCAGAACAGAGCCCATCATAAATTGGGGACTATTGGTATGTTGTTGTTGTTGTTATGTGTCATCGAGTCAGCCCCGGCTCATAGCGACCCCTCCTTGGGTTTCTGAGGCAGTATCTCTACAGAAGTAGATTTCCCAACCTTCCTTCCAAGGAGTGGCTGGTGGGTTTGTTTCAAATAATGTGGTTATTCTTATAGGCTTTATAAAAGAAAATAAGAGATTCCATTAAGGTGCAATTTGAGGAAAATGGTTCCATAAAGTAAAAAATGAGTATGGTTCTAACATATAGATTTATAGTGGATTGAAGGAGCCCTGGTTGTGCAAACAGTTAGGCAGTTAGCTGCTAATCCAAAGGCTGGCAGTTTGAGCCCACCCAGCAGCTCCCCAGAAGAAAGACCTGGTGATCTGCTTCCATAAAGATTACAACTCAGGAAACCCTATGGGGCAGTTATACTCTGTTATACAGTGTCTATATGAGTCCAAATCAATTCAGCAGCACCCAACAACAACTGCATAAGAGATTAGCTTCATCCACGGATAGCATATAGAATCGTTAATGGTTGTTGTTCAACTAGAGGTCTCAAGGTAGTGTTCTTGCATGGAAGCAAAGACAGACTATCTGTGCTTGGAGGCAGATGGATCTTAAGAAGAACTAGAATTTCCTTCAACTCTAGATCCACTCCAGCATATGCATAACTGACCATTTTATAATGTCACATCGTGAAAGATGGCAAAAATTTATTCTACCAGGTCCACTATCATGGCTGTGGAAAAAGCTCAGTACTCTTGGTAGATTATTTCATTCTGAACAGCCTCGTTTTTAAGTACACCCATCAGAGTGAATTTTCAATACAAGTTACCTATAAAAAAACCCCAAAAAACAAACCCACTGCCATTGAGTCAGATCCAACCCATAGCGACCCCTTCTGTGGGTCACTACAGAAGTAGATTGCCCAACCTTCCTTCTGAGGAGTGGCTGGTGTGTTTGAACCACCAGCCTTCTGGTTAGCAGTCAAATGCCTTAGGCATTACACCACCAGAGCTCCTCTACCAATCTGAAATTTTTCATACTATTTTTAATATGGAATAATTTGATTTGGAGGAATATCTGCCAGAAGCTTTAGTTTCACTGTGTCATTGAACATTCATTTTTGTAGTAGTTTAAAATCTATTAATGACAGTCCTACTTTATGATAAAATCATATTAATGTAGAGATGGAAACCTATCCTCTTGCTTCATATGGTAGAGAATTGCATTTAACTCATGCAAAAGTAATACCAAAGTATAAAAAAAGACAAATTAAAATTTAAAATATGAGTTTGAAAACATGAACTTCCTTTTCCTGATAAGAGAGTGTTAACTGGAGAGTAGCTATGCCTAAAAGGTGCTACTATACATACAAAACATAACTCATCTGCAGTTGATTAGAGGAAAAGCCAAGAAGGAGTTCTAAATTGTTGCTACTGTTGATGATGATGATGATATCAAGGTTTAGGGCATGTTCAACCAACTACTAGGATTGTGTTTATGAGGAAGCAAAGTACTGTTGTTTTCCTGACTAAAGTGAGTATATACTTGGAATCTTCCTAGAAAGATAGAAATGGAACCCACAATCAAGCATTCAATAGTTCTGGCAGCAAAAGATTTTTACCAGAGCAAAATAGTTTTCTACAGAATTCTGTGATTCATCTGGCTCAGATTAATTGGCAGAAATTTGGTTTGGAGAAAACTTCATGTGATTTGGGGTTTGTAGTGAAACTGTTCTTGCCACTTAAGATCATTATGATTACATACTCTAAAAACAAAATATTTCTCTAGGAATGTTTTTCCTGTTTGAAATATTTAGTCAGATGAGGAGGTTCTGGGCTCCATCCTGAGATCCTCACATCTAAAACATTTCTTCTGAAGGTGTAAATCTGAAGGAGACAGGCCTCCTATGAACAGATAGGAGGAATCTCTGCTTATACAACTTAAAAAAAAACTACAACTCTAATTTTAAAAAAATTATTAGAACCCACAGAGAGTAGACCAACTCCTATTTCTAAAGGTTTTCATACAAAACAAACAAGGGATGCTGTAGAGGAGATTTTTTTTTTCTTCCTTTTTTATTGGAAGGAACTGTGAACTAGAAGCCTTTTAGCATTCAATCCATTACTCTCTGATATTATTAAAGACTGTGTCATACTATCAGGTCATATATGGTATGGAAAAAGACTAAATTTTTTTTTTTCCCCTAAAGGCAATATGCTCAGTCCTTGGGAGGCAAAAACATAGATAGCTTCTGAAAGGTTTATATTTAATAACTTTTTCCTGGAGTCCTTTTACCTAATTTGTTAAATTATTTTATTTGGCAGAAGTCAAATACTGTGTTTTCTGAAACATACCCTGTATATCACCAGTAGTGGTGAGAGGAAGGGCTATCCTAACTTAAGAACTTGTGTGTTTTCCTCTTAGGTTTTTCCTATGACAAGTTCAGGGGCTCCAATCAGTGAATATCCTTTTATAAGGACAGGCTTGCTGGGATTTATTGGTCCTGGAGGACTTGTCTTTGTGGTGGGTAAAATGGATGGTCTGATGGTGGTCAGTGGACGAAGACACAATGCCGATGACATTGTGGCAACAGCATTGGCAGTGGAACCAATGAAATTTGTCTACAGAGGCAGGTCAGTTGCGTTTGTCTTTAACTTAAATAGATATTTTTAGTAGATATATATATTTTTTATTTAATTATGAAGAATTCAAAACTTGAATCAATTCCTTCAAGTTATGTGATTCAGGTTCCTTTTCCATGAAGTGAAGCAATTTGGACTCAGAGACCTTTGAGATTCTATCTAGTCTAAATATACATCATTTTATAGAAATTTCTGAAGCCCATAAATATACCATCATTAATGGCCCCTTTAAAATAATTTTTTTAAGTAATTAATTTTTTAAAATCTGTAACTGCAAAAAGAAAAAATAAAAAGCCAAATACTCATCTTGGTGCAAATCAGAAGACATGAAGGTTGTGCTATAGACCTACACAGACAAAATGATGCTCATTTACTTACTGACTTTCTCATGCTTTCTTCTTCCTGATTGTATTCCTACTTTTTTTGGTCACAAAAGGCTCACTAAATATTAGTTAAATTATTATAGCTCCTGAGTTTTTTGCTTATTAGATGGAAGTCATAAACTGCTTAATAATCTTACTTAAGTTTGTCAAGGTAATAGGAGTTGGGGAAAATAAACACTTAGCCGTAACATTGCCACCTTTAAATGATTTCTAAAATTATGACCTATATGTGAAAGGGGGCATAGTGGAGTTATTGCATTGCCACAATTCTGTGCTTACTCCAAAAGTTAGACATACTTAACAGAAAACCTTTAGTTTTCTAACAAGGAAATTCTACTGGTCTGGAGAGAATTACTTCCCAGGTGTATTCTAATTTTCAGCACAGCTACCATAGGCAGTTCCGATATTTAGACACTAACTTCTCCTTTCTACACTAAGAGGTATAAAACGTGTCACCAAAATTTGTGGGTTACCTACTGTAGGCAGCCTCAGAGTAAAATATGGGGTGATTTTCCCTTTGTGAGGTTTCTCCTTTCCCACCACTTCCCAAAGCTATTCTTATATTAATAAGTGTGTGGGAGTTTGGAATTGTAATTTGCCTTTTTGAAGTGATAGTTGGAGCTGTGATCTTCTGAGCTGTGTAATTAATAATGGTTATGAGAATTCTGCATTGAAGAAATAAGTCTTGAAGATCACCATCTGCAGTGTCTCACTTGGTGCTTTCCTTGTCTGTTTGCTACAGAATAGCTGTGTTTTCAGTGACTGTCCTTCATGATGAAAGGATAGTCATTGTTGCCGAGCAGAGACCAGACTCCACGGAGGAAGATAGCTTTCAGTGGATGAGCAGAGTTCTACAGGTGATTCTTTTCTTACCTGTGACGCTTTTATTCCTCTTTCTTACTTTTCAGCTCTCCTTATTCTTCTGCTAAGGTTATTGCCTAACCCTTATCAGCTGTGATTTTGTGCACATAGTATACCTTTTATCTTCATTCCATTTTATCAGAAATTGCATCAAGTGTGAAACTTTTATTGTATGTTCCAGGAAACTAGCCAAATAGATCAAGGGTTGGAATCAGGAGTTTATAACATTGGTTCCTGCTAATCATGTTGAAAATGTCACAAGCAAAACTTTTTTGTTGTGATCTTGAAAATGTATTCTCTTTTCTCCAAACTGTCTTTTTTTTTTTTTTTTAATTGTTTATGGTATTCCACTAGTCCTGAGTAAATTACTCAGTTTTAAGTTTTTATTATTCGCCTCACTTTTAGTAAAAATGCATTTTCTTTTATACTGGGAACACAGCCAAGTGCTGTATATATTTTATATGTTATAGACAATATTTTGCACAGTATAAGCATTAAGTGAATGTTTCTTGTTTATAATATCCATTATAACATGGTTATATATTTTTTTTAATTTTCTAGGCAATTGATAGTATACATCAGGTTGGAGTCTATTGCCTGGCCTTGGTTCCAGCAAATACCCTTCCCAAAACCCCCCTTGGTGGAATACATTTGTCAGAAACTAAGCAGCTTTTCCTGGAAGGTTCACTTCATCCCTGCAATGTCTTGATGTGTCCACATACTTGCGTCACAAACTTACCTAAACCTAGACAAAAACAACCAGGTATGTTTAAATGCCATGGTAGGTTTGTGTGCCATCTTGAATTGGCCATCTAGAATTACACTTTATCAGTATCACATTGCTAAGAATACCAGTGGCTCTCAGCCTTTTTCTGCTTCCGTGCTATTTGCATGATCTGTATCCCCTCCCATAAGTAAACCTACTCATTTCAAACCATATTTTTCTATCCAAGGAAATAGGGTCCACTTAGGGTGAGGAGTACAGTGAACATTTGGGTTGAAAGAGTTGTCAGTTTCTTGAGCCTCAGTCTTCTGTATAATGTCAAACACTTGACTTAGAGTTAAGTGATCTAGATTAGATGTTTATATAGTTGTTGACTGTGTGACCTTTGGCAAGGAACAAAATGTCTCGGTGTCATCATATCCTCACATACAAAGTGAGAATAATCCTTCCTTACATATTTTATGTGGCTGTCATAGAAATCAAAGCCGATAATACATGTGAAAGGTCTTTGAAGTATATGAGGAATTCTACAAATGGAAGATAGTAGTGTTTTTGAAATTATTATAATTGTAAACATTTCTCTAGTGCTTCACTAATTGGGGAACACATTATTTCCATTATCTTACTTGAGTTTCACATCTTTATGGTTGCATACAGAGTATCAATGAAAGGGAAATTATAACAAGAATATACTGGATCATGATGAAGGAACTCTTCAGTACAGTAAAGGAAGGTCCCAGAGCCTTCAGGGCTGAGATCCACAAAGACTTCATAACAAGCTGAACAAAAGCTCAGGCTGGGATGATAATAAAAATGACATAGTAGTGCATATTACAGACTAGTACGTGTTTGAAGCACTTTATATGTTTAACTCAGTTAATCTTCATGATATCCCCCTCATAGGATCCTTTTTATATATCTTATATATATGAGGAAAGTGAGCCACAGAGAAGTTAAGCCATTTATTTAAGGTTACATAGTTACAATATGGTAGAAATCCAGGAAGTTGGGCTCCTTAAGTGGTTAAGTCTGTTTCCTTAACCACTGTTAGCTGATTTTACCCAAAGCCCCATTTTTTAATTTTTTTTTTTTTAACCTAGCTTAGATCAATTTGCTACCATCTGAAAAAGAATGACATTATTGACAGAGTTTTATACGAGACCCTAGAGGTCGTTAGCATTTTGTATTCTGGGCTCATAGATGAGTGCAGCACACGCATTTTGTATTCTGGGCTCATAGATGAGTACAGCACACTTCATAGTAAACATATTAAGCAATCTGAAAAAAAATCCAATTTGGGCCATTCTATGGTTGCTGTAAGCTCCTGATGTTTCATGGAATCAGTCTGCAGCCTTCCCTGTGAAATAGAATGTGGTAATTTTTCTCATTTTAAATGTGAGGAACCTCATGCATGGAGGAGACATGCCATCATCCCAAGTATGCATAGCTACTCAGTAGCAGGGAGAAAACTTTAATTTAGATCTTCCAACTCTAAATCCTTTGCTTTTTACCTCTATAAAACTCAAAAGATTTTTTTGTTTGGTAGTCAGAATGTAACTTACACACACGAATAGCTATTTTCTTCTTAGAGAACGTAAAAAGTAATCATGTTTCCAACCTTCTAGGCAAATTAGATTTAGATGTATCACTGCTCTTTCATTTCTAAGCTATTTCTGTTTTAAAAAATTATTTTCCATGGTAACATAGTGCCTAAGGCATCTGACTGCTAACTAGAAGGCTGGAGGTTCAAACCCACCAACCACTCCTCAGAAGGAAGGTTGGGCAATCTACTTCTGTAGTGATACTGCCTCGGAAACTCAAGGAGGGGTCTTTATGAGTCGAATCTGATTCTACAGCAGTGAATTTGGTTTGTTTTTTTTTTAATATTTTAGATGTTTCTCCATTTTTTTTTCCCCTTCTCACTTGTATTTTATTCTTTCAATCCCTGGTCTGTGTGATTGCAGTAGTACAATGTAGAATAGGAGTGACAGATCTACTTTTTTCGATTGTATGACTACAGTGGCTTCAGTTAGTTAGCCACTGGAAAACACAGCATTATACCACAGTGAACATAATAAAAGGATGAAAGATAACCTCTTTGTCTCATATTATCTCAGAACGTAAACCACATTGGAATGATTCAGTAATAATTGCTCTACTAGGCATATTTGTTTCTACAATATTATAATTTATAATAGTGTGGGAACTCACCAGGTTGTCCTGAGTGTAAAATGGGAAATGATTGGATCATGCAGAAGTTCCCTCTCCACTACTTGAATCAAATCATTATCACAAAAGCTCTTGATCTAGTGACCCAGGCAGTGAGTGGTTCCAGCTGTGAAAGAATGAATGTGAACTCCTGACAGTTCAATAGTTTGTGCATACAGGATTCAGTACAAAGTGTTTATAGTAGGTAGAATCATTTGCAGATATGGGATGTGATTCCATAGCTACTTCCAAATGTCAAGATACCTGATGAAAAAAAAAGCCTAGCTAAGTAAAGGAGCTAATGCACTTGTGCTCTGGAGATCCAAGCTAGCAGGTGCCTGAACAGTCTTCTTTATTAGAGATTGAGCACTGAAAGGATTAGCCCGGAGATTTGGTTTCTTTTTACTCTAATACAATAATATATTAAATGAAGTTTTATTTGATTGCTAGCTTTAAAGAACACCAAAATTAAAAAAAAAAAAAAAAAAAAAAAAACCTTCCATTTGTAAGACACTTGATGTCCCATCTGTTTTTGTTAAATATTGAGAGGTCATGCAGTTCTATCACTTCAAGTAACAGTGTTTCAACAAATATTAAATGGCAGCTGGGGTGAAGTAGAAAAAGCCCCATACAGGGTACTTATAGATGTTCCTAACTCTATAAATAACTTGTAATGTAACCTTTGACAAATCACATTACATCTCCATAGATGTAAATGAGGGGACTGGATTTGGATGGTTTCTAAGGCCCCTTTGGAATAAATACCTAAGACTCTGAACTTCATTATTGACTGCCAGAGCACACTTTTTTTATTGTTTCCCCTTCACCCAAGTTAATGTCTGTCTACTCTCTGAAAAAAAAAAAAAAAAAACTTCCATTGAGTCAAATCTGACTTATAGCGACCCTTCCTTGGGTTTCCGAGGTGATATCTCTACTGAAGTAGATTGCCCCGTCTTCCTTCCAAGGAGTGCCTGGTAGGTTTGAACCACCAGCCTTCTGTTTAGCAATCAAATGCCTTAGGTACTTTGCCACCAGAGAACCCTTCCTTTCCCACTCACCTCTGGTAACTGTCAAAGATACTTCTTTTCTTGTGTGAAACGTTTTTCTTCACTTTTTATAATAGTAGTCTCATACAACACATATGGTTTGCGTAAAGGGAAAGGCAGTATACCAAAGGTGGGTGACCAATATCCCTAAGGAAAAGGAATACGTGGAGAGGTGCACAAGATACAAGATGTACAGACAACAAAGGTAAACATTATTACATACACAATACTGAATAATACATAATATGTATGAATACGTAATACTGAATAATCAGTAATAAGAAACATTAAGCTATAAGTTGATACATAGGTAGACAGGCAGGATAATCAGGTATGTGTAGGCAAATGGGATTATACCCATGACCGTATACGTTTGGCAGATAATGTCTCTATATAGGGAGCTCTGGTGGCGTAGTACCTAAGGCATTTGACTGCTAACCAGAAGGCTGGCGGTTCAAACTCACCAGCCGTTCCTTGGAAGGAAGAGTGGGCAATCTACTTCTGAGAGATACTGCCTCAGAAACTCAAGGAGAGGTCGCTATGAGTCGGGATTGACCGACGGCAGTAAGTTTGTTTGTTTGTTTGTTTTATATAAGTATTTATATGTGCTATAAATATGTCCAGGAGCTCTGGTAGCATAGTGCCTAAGGCATTTGACTGCTAACCAGAAGGCTGGCGGTTCAAACCCACCAGCCACTCCTCAGAAGGAAGGTTGGGCATTCCTACTTCCGTAGTGATACTGCCTCAGAAACCCAAGGAGGGGTCACTATGAGTCGGGCCCGACTTGATGGCAAATTACAACAACAACAACATAAATATGTCCATATATATACAATTACATTAACAGGTGCAAAGTTATGATAAGTTCTTAGCCACAGCAAAATACCTTAAGGGAGTGAGTTGCAGGGCCCATGGACTCAGGATCATAGTTGTGGGGGACATCAAGCTTGATTGGTGTAACATAGTATACAAAAACACTGTTCTATATCCAACTTTGGTGAGTAGAGATTGGGTCTTAAAAATTTGAAGCGGCCATCTAAGATGCAACTGTTGATCTCTCCTCTTTTGAAGCAAACAATAGTGAAGAAAATCAAAGACACATGGAAGAAATTATTCCAAGAGACTAATGGACCATGGGAACCTTAGCCATTTGAGCCTGAGACCAGAAGAACTAGATGGTACCAACAACCACTCTGAAATGAATCAGAATTAGAAATCCTGGATAGAGTAGGAGAAAAATGTGGATCAAAACTCAGAATCATAAAAAAGAGTGCCTTACTGGTCTAATAGAGCCTGGTGGAACCCCCAACATAGTGGCCCTTAGTCACCCTTTGGGCCTGGAGTTGAACTTACTCCTGTGGCTCAACTTCCAGCTAAGTAATATACAGACCTATGAGGTGAACAGTTATACCAGGGAGTTATGCACTCCTTAGAACAATCCACCACAAGAGATCAAAAAGCAGAATTTGCCAATGGATAAAGCTCAGAAGGCAGGATTACATAGGAAAGAAGGACACAGGGAAAAGGTAACTACAAGGAGAAGGAGGAAAGAGAGCTGTTACATTGTGGGTATTCCAGTTAGTGTCATAAAATAAAATGTGTATGAACTGTTGAATAGAAAATGAATTTGCTCTGTAAACTTCCACCCAAATCACAATTAAAAAGTTTTAAAAGAAAATCGCAGTCTCATACAATATTTGTCCTTTTGTGATTGACTAACTTCACTCAAAAGACTAAGGTGTGCCTAACCCAAGCTATGGTGTTTTCACTTGCCTTATATGCATGTGAGAGCTAGACAGTGAATAAGGAAGACCAAAGAAGAGTTGATATTTTTGAATTGTGGTGTCAGCAAAGAATACTGAAAGTACCATGGACCAGAAGAACTGACAAATCTGTCCTGGAAGAAGTGCAGCCAGAATGCTCCTTGGAAGTGAGAATGGCCAGACTTCATCTCACCTACTTGGTTATGTTGTCAGAGGGACCACTCCTTAGAGAATATCAGACTTGGTAAGGTGAAGGTTCCATGAAAAAGGGAAAGGCCATCAAAGAGATGGATTGACACAGTGGCTGCAACGATGGGCTCAGGTATAGCAAGGATTGTGAGGCTGGCATATGACTAGACAGTGTTTGTTCTGTTGCACATAGGTTTGCTATAAGTCAGAGCCAACTTGACAGCACCTTACAACAACAACTTCACTCAGCATAGTGGCATCTGAATTCATCCTTGTTAATGCAATATTTCACAGATTCACTGTTCTTTAATGTTGCGTAGTATTCTGTTGTGTGTACGTACCCGTAGTTTGTTGATCCAGTCCTCCACTGACGGGCATTTATGTTGTTTCCATCTTTTTGCTGTTGTGAATAGTGCTGGGATGAACATGGCTATGCATATATCTGTTTGTGTCATGGCTCTTATCTCTCTAGGATGTATTCCTAGTAGTGGGACAGAGCAAACATTTTTTTAGGTCATTTATTTGTAACAGTGTAGTTAAATGCTTGAAACAGATGTCCTAAATTTTAAATATTTTATAGAAAACCTAATTTACTTTTTGCTTGGTGAATTAGTATTCATTTAGCTAGCAACAGAACATACTGTGGGATTATCTTAATTGAGCACAGAAATGTTGAAAGACCTTTAACTCTTCATTTGGACTGGTAACAATACTGTAAATATTATAAAAACAAGCACAGCTTAAAAATTCCCTCGCATATATTTTATAAGAATAGCTAGAAAAGAGCCCCATCAGGGTAGTGTGAAGAGTAGGCCACAGAAAACTGTAGCACTCCAAAACCAAAAACCAAATTCACTGCCGTCAAGTCGGGTCTGACTCTTCCTTGTGTTTGACCCCTCCTTGGGTTTCTGAGGCAGTATCTCTATGGAAGTATATTGCCCAGTCTTCTGGGAGTAGGCCACACTTTTCTAAGTGGAAATCTATAGCACTACAGAGATGAGAAGCACTGCCCTAGTTCAGGATTATATAAGTTGCTGCTGTCTTTTAAATATACTTCTGCCTGTGTCCTCTGCATGACTTTGTCAAGCATGGTATGTTGAGAGTTCAATAATACTAGCAACATACTTACTGATTTATAGATTGTAAATCTGTAAGGGGAGTATAGGAACAGAGAGAATAAATTTGAGCTTCAAATATATATGTTGTGGGATACACTTCCCTTTAACATTTTTCATATGATAAGAGAGGTAATAACGCTGTGGGAGTATTTCGTACATGCCCACCTCACTTCAACTAGGGAGAGAAATCATCAGTTCTTGGTTAAGGTCACATTTTAAAAATGAGGTACAGAAAGAAAGTCTCCTATCTTCTAGCAGCAGTTGGAAAAAATAAGTTGATTAAGCCCAGGTGAAGAAAACACCTAACGTTCCAGACATTGCATTCAGATAATGCAAGAAGAAGTAAAATTTTAGTCAGGGAAAACTTGACCCAGTGACAGAGAAGCACAAAACGAGGCCCTGTGAAGACCTTATGTTCCCTGAAAATACTATTTTCCCTACCCTAGTTTGGATTCTTAAAAATACTATGGATAGAAAAATGGCTGCATCCACTGCTTGGGTTGTCTCCCTTGCTGTTTTCCTTCCTGGGCATCAGCCGTCACGGCAGTTGTCTCTGCAGCCCTTGGTGACCAGGGCTGATCTTTGGATCAACTCCTAGGTCCCCACACTGCTTGGAAATGTTCAGGCTGTTGATGCCATCAGAGTAGCTGACAGGCCACAGTTCCATCTGTCTCTGTATGTACTGTTTTCATTCAGGTAGAACCATGCACATTGTCTGGAAATTAGAAGATACTCAGTTTATATGTGTGGAAAATAAAAGAAGGAAGAAGGGAAAGAAGAAACAAGCAAGAATGAAAAAAATTCTAAGTGAAAATCCACTCTTGTCTAAAGATGATAACACTTAAAGCTAGAATCCCACATCATGGAAGGAGAAATTGCTAACAAAAGTACATTTTGTCCTTACAATAAGAACAACTGTCCATTTTCTGTAAGGAGTGAACTTGAAGCAGGTTGCTGTATGCTCACCAAATTGCAGGCACGGTGCAAAGAACTTTACAGGGATGAAATGGATTCTCACTGCCATAAAGACTCAGCATGGTTACATTATATTAAATGGGTCAATATATGTAACCTTGAAATTAACCTTCAAAGAAGTTTAGGGTAGTTTCCAAGTTGGCTTCTTAAAACAGCCATTTTGCCTAGCCAGCCCAAAATCACCAAGAAGAATGTTAAGGTATTTTATCAACAGATATTAAAGGTAGAAAGCTAATGACTAATAAGCCAAGACGCTGAGTACAAGGGTATTTAATTATCCATGTAAAAGCAATGAACTCATACATGTTCTAACACAGTGACTCCTCCATTCACTTCATGCCTTCTGTTACCAAAGTTCCTTTTTGTCTAGTTAAATATGGAAAGCTTTTCCTCTTTTTTGTCATTTTATTAAGAAATAAGCAAAACTTTAGTTTAGCTACCAAACATGAAAAAAGAATGTACAAGGTAAAGTGATTTGGCTGAGTACATTGAGTAGTCATGATTACACAGAAGCCATCATCGAGATTCCTGTGAATTGCCTGAAAGCAGAGATACCATAAGGCCCAACCCACTGCCCTTGAGTCGGATCCGACGCATAGTGACCTCTCCTTGGGTTTCTGAGGCAGTATCACTATAGAAGTAGATTGCCCAACCTTCCTTCTGAGGAGTGGCTGGTGGGTTTGAACCACCAGCCTTCTGGTTAGCAGTCAAATGCCTTAGGCACTATGCCACCAAAGCTCCCCACCATAAGGCAGGTGCCCAGAAATCTGTGTATTGACTGTTCTAATCGGTCTCAGTCCTGTCTTGAAGTATCTTGTATTTCCCCACATAACTGTGAAAATTTAAATATTTCATGGCAAACTAAATTCAGTATGAATGGCTATGTGTCTGTAGAGAAGAATGGTTGGCCCTGTTTTCATTTAGACAGCCTATTAAAGGTTGATAGACACTCACCTACCTTGTACTATGTGTTTTCATTTCATTAACTATAGTGGGAGGGCAAGATGATTGTTAGGGTGGTTGTCATGATTAAATTTGTAAGTTATACATTATAAGCCTTGTTCTATGCCACCACACCCCTAAACCTGTATCTTAAAATCTTTGTCTTTATTTGATATGCTACATAACCAATTTGCTTAACTACAGACATGCAGCCCTTTATGTGTAATGGATTAAGGCATCCTATACCTGATTTATAAACTTGTATCTTGAACTTCACCAAAAGTTTAGTAAGAATTTGACTTGATTATTATCATCTTCAACTTATGTTTTATTGAACTAAATATTGGATAAAAATTGGTAGCATCATCTGTGTTATTTTATAGTGCAGTTCCTTTGATAAGCATTCTTTTATTCTTCTTCCCTTTTTTCTCCATTTCTCCCTTCCTCTTCTCTCCCCTTTTGTCTCTCTCACACCTATGTACTCTTGCACATATTCTCACATACTCACATAACGGGATATTCTCCTAGAACCTCTATCTTTTTCCTATTAAATGTATGTGTCTTGGTTTATATGTATGTCTTTAATGAAAAGAAAGTGTCAGTAATGTTATTTTGATAGAACCAGGAAGGTACATAGTGTTTTTTGCAGCCAGACATTTTGAGAGCATTTCTATAGTTATTTAAGAAACTTCATTCTCTCATTTAAAAAAAAAAAAAAAAAAAAATTCTCTTTCAAATATTTCTCTATTCTAGGAAAAGAGCATTTGGGAATCAAGTGAATAACAGTAGAGTAAATAAAGGACTTTGTGAGGATGGTAATTGGAGAGTGAAACTAAATGTGCACGAACTGTTGAATGTAAAACAAATTTGCTCTGTAAATTTGCACCCAGAGCACAATTTAAAAAAAAAAAAAAAAGGACTTTGACTTTATGGTAGCCTTTTTGTCTATTCCTTCACCTTTTGCTCTGGGCCTGCCAAAGAACCTAAAATGTTTTCAGTCAATGGAATATTGGATAAGTACTCCATGTCTTATCCTTTCAACAGTATTGCTCCCTGAATTTGTCTCAAGGGGTATTTATTTTAAAAATGTACAATGTTTTATGGTCAACTTAGTGATGTATAATAACACCAAGGAACAAGAGTACATGTGATCCAGAAATCTTTATATAGCAGTGAAATGCATCAAATTTTTTAATAGCTTATTTGTTTTCTGTACTGTTATTCTTTTATAATCATTAATGTGAAAATATGTTTAGTGTTCCCTGAGTTCACAGTAAACTGGGAGTTGAAAGCATTGGGCCTAGAAAATTCATAGGGGAATCAGGGATGGGATTAAAATATTGTTTCCTTATAGTCCTTAAGGAGCCCTGGTGGGTGCAAATGGTTACACGCCAAACTGCTAACCAGCAGGCTGGCTGTTCAGACCCACCCAGTGGCTCCATGGGAGAAAGACCTGGCAATCCAGTTGTGTAAATACCGCCAAGAACAGCCTGTGAGACCATTCTTCTCTGTCACTGGGAATGTACCTGACCACCCAGCAACCACCACAACAACATACAGCCAGTCGAGGCTTGTTTTAATTAGCCATCATTATCATTTTAGTGATTTTTCTGAAGCCATATTCTAAGGAGATTTATTAAAAATCAGGTCTTTCAGAGGATTTGCTCAGAATACACACTTAATTGAGGTGGGAAGTTGTGTTTTGAAATAGTTAGATTTACATTTTCATTTTCCTCACTTGTATGCCACTGTTTCCTTTTAGAAATTGGTCCTGCCTCTGTGATGGTAGGGAACCTTGTCTCTGGGAAGAGAATTGCCCAAGCTAGTGGCAGAGATCTTGGTCAGATAGAAGACAATGACCAGGCCCGGAAGGTAAGCAACTACGATTTTAGACCTTCATATTATGTTCCTCTTTCTTGACTGCTCTCTAGCTAGAATGCTGTATTAGAGATAAGACTATTCGCTCTTATTTTCCAGTCTTCCAATTGACTATATACTGTTGATCTCTTGAGTCTTTGATGGTCTTCTCTTCCTACCTGTTTTCTTGATCCAGGAAGAGAAATCCTTAATAATTTTATATGATAAATAAGTTTATTTGTATATATACTGTTTTAGAAAATGTCATAGAAACAAAAAAATGAGTATTTCATAGATGCACAATGAGCATTAGAAAATGAAGAGAATGTTTGGGCATCCTTATCTTAGTGTTTCCCAAAGCCCCTTGTTTCTCATTATCTCTACCAACCTGATTTGAAACCCAAACGGCCTCACCACTACTTTGAAATGAGGCTTCAATCCTTTGGTCATTGCAGTATAAGTAAACATCAGTGCAAAATCTAGGTTTGGGGGCCAGACATCTTTAAAGAAGTTTTAGGAGCAGTAGGAGACATCCTCAAACCTCATTCCACAACAAACAGCACACAAATTCTCATGTATAGATACGGGTCTTCATTATTACCATTCAGCCTTGAAATCGCTAAGATTAATCAAAAGCCCTCCCATTTTTCCACAAACAAGATAAAGGTCCCATTCTGTATTTAGGGCAATTAGGAAATGTGACAAAAATCACAACTTAAAATATTGCCAGTTTGCTAATATATACCAAACCCAACCCACTGCTGTGGAGTCAAATCTGACTCATAGCAACCCATCCTTGGGTTTCTAAGGTGGTATCACTACAGAATTAGATTGCCCAATCTTCCTTCCGAGAAGTGGCTGGTGGGTTTGAACCGCCAGCCTTCTATTTGGCCATCAAATGCATTAAGCACTAGGCCAGCAGAGCTTCTTTTGCTGATATATAGTAATGTGTGAATTCAGTGCACTTAATCATCATGCTCCCTACCTACCTAGTATGTGTATTAAATGTTATACACAGATGTTTCTTATATCATGATACTAGCACTGTATTTGGGATGACAAGAAATAGGGCTGTCCTTTTTTACCATAGACTGAATCAATGCAATGTATATAGTCTGAGTATTTACAGTGCTATTTAATGACATTAGGTAATTACTATTCTAGAAGCATCATGGCGTAGTGCCTAAGGCATATTTGACTGCTAACCAGAGAGCTGGCAGTTCAAACCCACCAGCCACTCCTGGGAAGGAAGGTTGGGCAATCTATTTCTGTCTTGTTACCACCTCGGAAACCCAAGGAGGGGTCGCTATGAGTCAGGTCCGACTCAATAGCAGTGCATTGCATTTGTTCGTTATTCTAGAAGCATTGCGTATTTAACGCAACTCATTTTTAAAAGAAAAATAGATTATCCCATTGCAGCCCACAAAATGCATCATTGTACCTTCCAGAAGTCCTGTATTGGCTGTGGCTGCTCCTGTCTGTAATAAGGGAAATGGAGTTCTCCCATCCTTGGGAAGATTTTCAGAAAACTTCCCTCACCAGTAATACACCACCAGCCCTTTGATTTGTGAGTCTGTAAATAAGGTGTAAAGAATTTGAATTCCAGGGAAAAATTGTAAGCACTTGCTTATTCTGTTGATTATATTTATCACGGATTTTAGTTGAATATGTATCCTTCTTTCTCTGTGGTGTTTTTGGTAGGCACTTACAAAGCCTTCAGGCAGACTATGTTGTTACAAATACTGAGATCACTCAGTCCAAACTACAGTAGTTTGAACCTAATAACTGTGTTTGGTTTCAGTTCCTGTTTCTCTCAGAAGTTTTGCAGTGGAGAGCTCAAACCACTCCTGACCATGTCCTCTATACTCTGCTAAACTGTAGGGTGAGACATGCTGAATTCTTGTTTTATGATTCTTATTGTATTCTTATGTGAATCCTTGTTTGTTTGTTTGTTTTTTGCTACTTTGATTAATATAACTTTTCTCACTTAAGAAGGATTTCTCTTAAAAAATGTAACGATTTGTATATTTTTATATATCTATAAAGTAGCCCTCATGGCACGTTGTTTAAGTGCTTGGCTGCTAATTGAAAGGCTGGTGGTTCAAACCTACCAGGGTCTCTGAAGAAGAAAAGACTTGTCAATCTTCTCCTATAAAGATTACAGGCTAGGAACCATATGGGGCAGTTCTACTTTGTCATACTGAGTCACTATGAGTTGCAAATTGATTGATGTCACCTAACAAAGCATTCATATATGTGTATATTTTAACCACACTGTAATACTTATATAAAAAAGAAAAAGTGATGAATGATATGTAGCAAGAAACAGCTGCAGATCTATGAGATATTTATGTTTTTATTTATAAGTAAGAGGTTATAAATTAATTACAAATTCAGGAATGAAAATCATTTTTATTTTATTCATTTAAAGTTCACATCTTATATTTCACATTAGAGAGCCAATCTCAACAGATGATGTTCCAGAACAGTACTTACCGTAAAGCCTTAATACATAAATAAATAGCATAACAGTAAAAATTAAATATGAAAGTCTTAGTATATTTATTAATTGTCCTTTTTCTCACAGACCTGTAGCCTGCAAAGTGAGGCCAGCTAGAGCAAGATAGTAGCATAAACAGCCCCATTGTCCTGGTTCCCTACAAAAACACAAAGAGAGGAAAAAAAGTAGAAACTGGCAGAATCAACACTGACAGAACTGGAGAAACCAGTCCAAAGATTACAGCAACTAAGCAAATGCTAAAGCAAAAAAAAAAAAAGTGACATATAAACAGTAGCAAAATTTTGGTTTTCTACCTCCTGTACCCAACCCTCCTCCCTGGTCAACAGCAACATCATAAAGCAGCCTTCCACACTGTCAGAGAAATAGCCTGACCTCTGGCTCTAGACAGAAAAGAGAATACTGTCTTCTCCAATCATTGTGTATGTCTATTATAAGTTGTCTGGAATGCCTGAAGGACTGACACACAATATTCATCTTGGTTTGGCTTGTATTTGAACTTGCACAGACCTCAGGGATAGCAGGTAACCACCTAAGGCTATAACTGTGTGTAGCCATATAGGGCAACGACTGCTATTAACGCATATAATAGGCTCTAGAAAGGTGAATGGAGACAGTTTATTTTGGATAACAAAGCTTTCAAAAGCATTTTGAATACTGGAGAATTGAGAAAGCAGCACACAGTGCCCAAGATGAGAGAATTCCCAGAAATTAGCTGAGAAGACCCTATATTTTCACCTTGGACTGACTGACATTGCAAGCCTAGCTAAGTGTTGAAGGACGGTCCAGATACAGAGCTAATTCACAAAGTGTAGAGATTTTGTCTTTCATGTTTTGTTTGGTTTTCTCCCCCTGGTATTCAAGTAAATCTCTGTCAAGACTCTGACTAAACACAAGCTAAGAAACATTGTCTTTAGTAGCCACACAAATTTAAGAAGATAGTCTTTGCAATAATATTTAGGGTAAGTCACTAAACAAATGAATAATTATAGTCTACAACAATCTTTTTTTATTATAAACATGGATAGGAAGATTTAATATCATAAAAATGTCAGTTATTCACAGGAGTATATAGATTTAATGCAATTCCAATCAAAATCCCAACTTTTTTTTGGTTAATTGCACAATCTGATTCTAAAATTTCAAATGAAGTGTACAAGGACAGATAAGACATGTATGAAGACAAAGCAGAGGATGGGCGGACTCACACCCTAGCAAACAATCAGACTTATTATAAAGTATGGTAATTACCTACCATCTGTCTGTCTGTCTGTCTTATTGTGTGGCTTGAATGGTACTGTGATGCTGAAAGCTATGCCACAGGTATTTAAATTTATTTGGACAAGTTTTAGCAAAGCTTCCAGACTAAAATAGACTAGGAAGAAAAGGCTGGTGATGTACTTTAGAATATTGTTGTTGTTGTTGTTGGGTGTTGTCAGTTGGTTCTGACTCATAGCGACCCTGTGCACAACAGAACAAATCACTGCCTGGTCCTGCACCATCCTCACAGTTGTTGCTTTGCTTGAGCCCATCATTTCAGTCACTGTGTCAATCCATCTTGTTGGAGGTCTTCCCTTTTTCACTGACCCTCTACTTTACTAAGCATGATATCCTTCTTGAGGGATTGGTCCCTTCTGACAACATGACCAAAGTACATGATACAAAGTCTGGCCATTCTAGAAACTTTTGGATCACAACAGAACATTTTCCAACTCACTTGCTTTGGACATGTTGTCAGGAGGGATCTTTTGCTGGAGGGGGGCCTCATGTTTGGTGAAGCAGAGGACCAGCAAGGGCAAGGGAGACACTTGGGGAGTTGGATTGGCACAGTACATGTAGTCATTGAGCTATGAACGAGACCCGTTCCTAATTGTATATTTAAGTCAGATTTGTAGTAAGTTGGAACAGGTGCATACAGTTCTTATTTAGCCTTATTTTAGTGCAAGAAAGGGCTACAAGCCTTTTCAGTTATTTAAAAGCTGGATGTGCAGCCAGTGGAGATGATTGTGGTAAAGAATATGTTGTGAATAAGGGTTGGTTCACTCATTTCAAAGTGAGGGCAAATTTTCATAACATTAAAGGGCAAATACAAGTTAATCTGTAAGTTGGATGTTTATAACCTGGGGAGTTACTTTTGCTGCAACAGTGGCTTCAAACATGCCAGCAGTCATGAGGATGAAGCAGGAGTAGGCAATATTTCATTTAGTTAGCTGCTTTTCTTAACTGTAACAAGTACATGGTATGTGAAAAACACTATAAACAAACAAACAAACAAAAAACCTCACTGCCATTGAGTTATTTCTGACTCATAGTGACTCTATAGGACAGAGTAGAACTGCCCAATAGAGTTTCCACAGCTATAAATCTTTACAGAAGCAGAGTGCCTCATCTTTTTCCCATGGAGCAGCTAGTGGGTTTGAGCCATGACATCTTGGCTAGCAGCCAAGTGCTTTACCCATTGTACTACCAGAGCTCCTTGAAAATAGTATTATAGATCTGGTTTAAGGTATTTCTCAGACTTCTTCTGGCATCACAAACAGACTTTGATTAATGGTTTATCCACTGAAGCCTTGAAGCAGCTTAAGTGGTTAGGTAGCTGAAGAGAATGGTGAGGGCCTACATAGCCTAGAATACTGGGAAAAGGCAAGTTTATCCAGAATCATTAAGAACCATGACATGCTGTATACACAGTCAGCATTGTGTTTTGGCAACAGGGACAGCACTGGGACTGGAGAGGACGGTCTAGACCTCCAGGACGGTCTAGGTGGTGGCAGAGATTGGGCTCCCACCTCACAGAAGCTTGAATACTCACAAATTCTAATCTCCAACAGTTTTTTAAAAGAACAGTAACAGCTAAATAAATATTTTTTAAAACAACAACTGTGAAAAGCATGACTGTAATTTCCAGAGTTACCACATTATCATATTCAAATATCCTATTTCAAGAACAAACAAAAAATCACAGGACATACAGAGAAATAGGAAAGGATGACCCATTCAAAAGACACATAAACCATTCCTATGGAAGTCTAAATAATGGACTATTTACTAGATACAAATTTAAAAAAAAAACGAACAGTATTAAATTTTCTCAAGGAGTAAAAAGCAAATGCAGACAGAGAAATAAAGGAAATCAGGAAAATGATACAGGACCAAAACAAGAACATTAATGTAGAGATGGAAATTTTAAAAAGAAATCAAACAGAAATACAGGTATTAAAAAGTAAAATAACTAAAATGAAAAATTTACCAAATGAGTTCAAAAGCAGATGTGAAGTAGCAGGAGAAATAATCAGTGAACTGGAAGATAAGACATTTGAGACTGTCAAGAATGAGAGGCAAAGAGAAAAAGAATGAAGAAAAGAAACAAATCCTAAGGGATTTGAGGAACAGCAAGCAGACCATATATCCATTATGGTAGTGTAGTGCCTAAGGCATTTGACTGCTAACCAGAAGGCTGGCGGTTCAAACCCACCAGCCACTCCTCAGAAGGAAGGTTGGGCAATCTACTTCCATAGTGATACTGCCTTGGGAACCCAAGGAGGGGTCGCTATGAGTCGGGTCTGACTCGACAGCACATAACAACAGATAGTAAAAGAGAAAAAGGGGACAGAAAGAATATTTGAAGAAATGTTAGTGTGAAATGTCCCAAATTTGATGAAAGACATGAATCTACACATACAAGAGGTTCAGTGAACTCTCAGTAGAATAAACCCAAAGAATTCCACACCAAGATACATTATAATCAAACTGTCAAAATCCGAAGTTAAAACAGACAGTCTTGAAAGCAGCAAGAGAGTAAAGTAAATTATCACATTAATGAGATCCTCAAAAAGACTATACGCCAATTTCTCCTCAGAAACTATGGAGGACTGAAGTCAATAGGAAAATATTTAAAATGATGGAAAAAGAAGAAGGGGGAAAAAAAAGCCATAGAAGAATTCTAATTGAGCAAAATCATCCTTCAAAAATAAGGTCGAAATTAGTTAATTAATTCCCAGATAAGCAAAAGCTGAGAGAATATATTACTGTAAGACTTGCCCTGCAAGAAAGGCTAAAGGGAGTTCTTCAGGTTAAAAAGAAAAGGAAAGGTAATTTGAAACTGTATGAATTTAAAAAGATCTCCAGTAAAGATAATATCATGAGTAAATATAAACAACACTGTTATGGTGTTTTTGTGTTATACCTCTGCTTGTTATATCCTTCATAATTTAAAAGACAAATGCATAAGAAATAATTGTAAATTAATACTAATGAGCTTAAAATATACAAATATGTAATTGTGTCAGTAGTATAAAGGGGGAATGGTAGAGGAACAATTTTTGTTTTTGATCTGAAAGTAGTCTTAATTTATATTGTTGTTG